TGATTTTATTTAATTTTAATTTAATTATTTAAATTTCAATTTTTTTAAAATAAACGAATTTAAGGAAAAATGGAAAATAGGGGAAAAAATCACGTGAGAAAAATCCTAGGAGAATTAGCTTTTCGCGCGAGCACCCGTGCGCATGTCCATGCATGTCCCATCACGCGCGGTGTGGAGCATAAGTCTGCACGGGTAAGCAAGAACAGTCCACGTGCGTGACATCACGTGCAGACAGGCAGGCACCCACATTATGCGTGCGCCGGTAGTGCAGTAGGCCTGCGTGCCTAGGGCCTGCGCGTTGACTGGTCTTGCTTACGCGTGCTTAGGGCGTAAGCCTTGTGCGTGGTGTCTTAGCACGCCTAAGCCTTGCGCGTGGCGTCCTAGCACGCCTAGGCCCTGTGCACGCACAAGCTAACTCCTGCGCATGGCAAGGTAGCCCGGTGCCAGGAGGCTAGGCCTGCAGCGGGTGCATCGGGCGGGTAAGGCCACTGCCGCCTCGGGCAGTGTCCGCTGCCCACCTTAGGCGGTGTGCAGCCGCTGGTGGTGCGGCTGTCAGTAGAGGGTTTTTTCCTCTATTTTTTGTGTTAAACATCTTTTACTCTCTTTCTTCACTGGATTTTGCCACTTGGTGCAAATCCAATGTCTTCCATTTTCTATAAATAGGGGCCTTTCTGCCCTTTTTTTCCACACTTCCATTCTTCCACCTTTCAAGAGTTAGAGAGAGAAAGAAAGTGATCTAGAGAGAAAAGAAGAACAGTGTAGAAGAAATTATTAAGGTTTTGATAAATAATTTAGTATTTCTTTAAGTATCTTAAGGGGTATTTTTACATAAAAAAGAAAAGATTAAATTGATAATTCTATGATTTTACCTAGTTTGCATGCTTTATGTCTGTAAGCTTAATAAGTTAAATTGTTCATGATTTTAAGATGCTACCTGAGTGATAGACACTTGATGATTTTCATATAATTAAAATAATATGAAACTGGTAAAGTTATCTAGAAAATAAAAAGAACAAAAAAAAGAACAAAAAAAGTGGAATGAAGTATGAATGGTCTGAATTATGTATCTATATTGACATGTATAGCGCATCAAGTGTCTCATTAGGTTTTTAATCCATGAGAGGTATCTGTTCTCTTATCCCCATTTGGGGTATCTATTTTTTCCTTCTCCCATCTAGTATGAAAAGACATAAAAAGACCGCTTCCTGTGGATGACGTCGTACCCTCTAACAAGAGTGGTGACGTAAATATCTATTAGGGGTCACCTTTGGCTAAGTATTATCGTGACCATAGAGTATATGATAGGACCACTATGATTGGTAAGACCGTGGTCATAGATCGTGTCATGGTTAGGCAAGCGAGAGATGTGCTTAAGCAAATTGCCGTTATCTATATCTGATCTGGTCATTTCACATGGGTAGTCAGAATTTTGTATCTGCCTTCAAAGATAGAAATTGTAACGACTTCACGAAGCATGATACAAAAATCTAAGCATTTCATGATTTATTTGATTTTTCCTATTGTTTGGTATGCTGTGTGTTTATTTTGATTGTCGGTTATAATATGATGTTTTTCTTAAATAAATAAATTATTTTCATAAAGCAAGATAGTTCTATGGCATAATCAAATGATAAGTGTTTATGTTTAAATAATTCACCTTTCAAAACCTTACAATGTTATCTAAATATTGTTTTCCTTACTGAGCATATAGAACTCACTCTTTTTATGCCCTTCCCCATATGAGGAAAATAATGAGGAACCAGCAGCTGACCTACCCATTGAAGTTTATGAGGATCCTGTGGATCTGTAAAACTTGAGTGCATGATCGTCCTCGCACTTTAATGAGTCCAATAGTATAGTGAAAGAAGTAACCCTCTTTTGTATTTTGACATTATATTTTGCAGCCACTTCTGGTCTCAGTTATATATATGTAATTGAAACTCATATATTTGTAAGATATTTATATTAATTTGCTCTGCTACATATAATTTTTATCATGCACTCGTAATTCTGTTTCTGTGTTTGATACCCACATACCTTAATTAGCATATGGGATGTCACAAAGTTTCTAAATAAGATTTCTAAAAAGAAGCTTCCTATACTCTAAGATTTTTTCTTAACTCTAGATTGGCTTCAATATAAGGAATTTTTCTGCTTATTCTCTTCTGATACCACTTGTAACATCTCCAATACTAATGATAGCAGAAGGGTGTCAGATACCGATATAGAATACAAGTGCATTTAAATAGAATATATGCAGAAAAAATTTTCACTACAAAATATATAGATTCCCAATTACATATACAATTAAGGCTAGAAGTAGCAACAAAATACAAAATATAAAATACAAAAGGAAGACCACTTCTTCCATCATATAAATGGACTCATTAGAGTGCGGAATCAGAGATGCACTCGTCAACGGTCATGGATCCATGGGATCTAGGCAAGCTTTAAGAGATAACTTAGCAGACAACTCATCACAAACATCCTCTTTGACACATCTAACTGGGCCCAGCATAGAAAGGGTAAGTTCTATGAAATTCAATAAGGCATACAATATTAAATTGACATAACTAAGAATTAAAAGTATAAATGTTTAAGAAGTACCTTTTTCCACTTACCATTTACAACGATCCATGGGAGTATGATTAATGGAAAGAAAAATATTTATTTAGAAATAACAAGATCATCAAGACAATGTAATAATACAGATAACACACCAAGAGAGAAAATCAAACAAATCGATATAAGTACATTATTAATCTTTAACCATATTCTGCACAAAACCCATTACGATTTTTATGTACTGGCTA